GGGATATATATTTTCTCCTGTTGTGAATGGATAAAGAAAGAAAGCCGTTCATCATTTCATACATGTAAGTCTTCACAGAAGAGGTATCCCCAGGGGGATAGATTTTCAGGATTAATTCTATTCACATGAAAACAGTGCAATTAATGCATGATAGAATTATTTCGAATGAATTATTTTTTCTGCTCCTTGCTCCCAACATGTCTCAATGTTCAGGCTCCTGGCGAGATGCCCCAAACTGTATCTTGGAAGAATGCTCATGTTCAAATGAACAACTCAATGCCTTGGGTTTTAATGGTAAAAAAAGTTAATTTTGAGTCTAAAAAGACAGTTGTGTGATCTTATTGACTCAAAGAAAGGTGTGGGTGTATCAAAAAGATAAAGGTAATGTTCAAGAATTTCAAATGGAGGTAATGTCAAAATTTGGTTTTTTGATAATGACAATGAGTTATTTTGGGTAAAGAATCAAGGTGTTTTATTCTAGGGTTTGAGACAGGGTAAGAAAGGTCTAATCTTGTCATATGTCAAAAATCTATAATTCTTGAATAATTAAAAGAATCCTCAATTCATTTAATATTCAAAGAACTAAAGATTAAAATTTGTTCAATTGCTCCACCTTAGAAAGTAACATGAATTCAATCGTTTAAAAGATGTGTTCAAACAAAATAATCCTCTAAGTGCAAATGGTATATGCCATGCCCCCTTCTTCGGCAAGCGCCTTACAATTTTCAGAAGAATGTTTGGGAATCCTTATGTGGCAACAACTTCAACATCGTAGCCCTTAGGAGATGGGTACTCTTTTCTCAGATCATCCTGGTAGGCTTAGTCCTACAATCAGCTGATCCAGCTCCCCCTGTACTGATTTCAGTTTTTCTTTAATTGTTAAAATTTGGCTTTCATGTGGTGTAATGTGGTTAAGACCACTTCATCGAATCCTCCGTGACTTAATTTCATGTTTATGAAAATGCTTAAAAATGTAGATGAAGATGCAAAAATGCAAGAATGCATGAAATGTTCGAGGCATTGATTCAAGAAATGTGCCTGTTATTATGAATAATCCTTATTGGGGACAAAAATGTTTTATCTTTTAAGAGACAAAAATATCCTGACAGCTTCTGACATGTTGACTAATCTTATGCTTTCGTCTTTCACCGGTTGAATAACCTGTCGAACTGCTCCGACCTCTCTGGATGAACCGTGAAAATGTTGAGTTGTTTTTCGTACTGGTCCAAGAAGTCTCGAATGATCGCATCTCGAGCATTTACTTTTGTTGAGCCTGTTCCCAACGAATTCGTCATTGGAGCCCTTAATTGATAGGAACTATGTGAAGTTCATTAATCTGTTTCTTGAATTCGCCAGCAATGGTCTCCAATTTCAGCTATCATTTTGTCATTGTCGTGTTCAAAGGGACTTCCAAGATACATAACCTTCATCCTGCCCCTGCAACCTCTGCCAGTCAGTTCTTCAAAGATAAGCTTTCATTGTGCTTGATGTAGACCCGGTTCATTCTGAGTCCTTTATAATGCAGCAGAGTGATATACTCTTCAATTGTGGGCACCACGTCTTCTGGATTGAATGTGACACATAGTCGCCTTGTAGACTATCCTCTGTATTTTCATCTCTTGTATTACAACACCTTTGTCCATGGATTCAGATTATTCGAGTTTTAACAAACACGTTTTAGTGGATCAATGACCTCTTTTGAATGATGTAAGTGATGAAAATAAAATAAAATAAAATAAAGCTGAAAAGAGTTAGTGAGGTGAAAAATAATAAAAAATGATCATAAAAATGAAAGTCCTACCCCACATGATATCTACCTCACATGCTTATTATTCCTACCTGAACATGATCTCTATCCCGCAAGTTGATTTTGAACAAGTCCTAATCGCATAAATTTCTAGTTCACATGCTTTGAACAGAAAGTAAAGTAGGAAATAATTCTGGCATCCTAGGGTTTGGAATGAGGTTTTGGGGTGGGCTCTAACTCCTTGTAGTCTCCCGGTTTAGGTTCTAAAAAAAAGGTACCCGAGTTATCCTTGCCGGTGCCCCCTTGGGCTTGCCAGACCCTTAGTCCTAAACCCATCACAGGCTTGTGTGGACTAAGTTAAACTCGGGAGGATACATTCCCTTATGCCCATACGGAGAATAAATTCACACGAAGGCATAAGGTATATGAATCCCGAAGGTTACTTGCTAGGCCCATACGGAGAATAAATTCACACGAAGGCGTCGCTTTCACCCCCACTTAAATAGGGTTTGGAGCTCGGGTATAGAGCCTTTAGATGAAAAAGTTTAGAAAGCTGAAATTATTAGAAAACAATCAGTACAACTATTTACTCAAAAATGTAATCAAATGTAAGTAATAAGGATCAAAATGTTACCTTAAAATTTAAACTTACCCTTTTCGTTAAAAAGACAACTGGAAATTACCTTAGCCTGACTCACTTATCTGTGTCCCCAGCGGAGTCGCCAAGCTGTCGTAACCGTCTTTCGGTTGGGCCCCGGAATTGGGCTTCGACTTAGGAAAATGGATTGGAGTCGCCACCGATTATTTATTTAAAAAAAATAGGTTAATCGGATACCTTATATCTTACCTGATCTGCGTCTTACCAAAGATATGTCGGATTCGGAAGTCGGTTACGGTCAAGGAAGGATTAGCACCCTTGAACCGCCCTTTCGGTACTACGTAATTTCCAGTTGTTTTTAATTAAGAAAATCGAAAGTTAAAATTTAAAGGTAACATATGATCCAAAATTACTTACCTCCAATCAATTTGAAAGAGTACCCTTAAAAAGTCGAGAAACGCGTTAAAGGAAAAAGGAAATAAGAGTAAATGAAATAAAGAAAATAGAAGGGAAAAAATAAAAAAAATGATGAAAAACTAAAAGATGAATAAAAATATAATTATTAAGTGCAAAATAATAATAATGATAATAAGTAGTAAAATAAAAAAAAACGCAATCACACCAAAAGAAAGTAAAAAAAGAAAGTCAAGGTTTGGTGAAGTATAACTGTCGGGAAGGAAAAAGACGATAAGGGGTAGGAACGTAGTTAATAAATGAGTGTGATGTATCCCTATAATATAGTAAGAATGAATAAACAAAAAAAACATTATGATATATATATATATATATATAATAAATATAATAACGAAAAAAAAATAATTTAATAAAGTAAAATAATAATAATGTAATATAATATAAATACATGAAAACAAAAAATAAAGAAGTATAAAATATAAAAATATAATTAAATGTATATATGCATATGTTTAAAAAAAGTAAAAATAAAAAATAAAATACAATAAAAAATATACATATAATGATAATAATAGTAGCAAAAGAGAAAAATATATTTATATACGTTAATAGTAAAATAATAATAGTAGCAAAAGAGAAAAATATATTTATATACGTTAATAGTAAAATAATAATAAATATAATAGTTATAAATATATATATATATATATGATAACTTTAAAAAACATTAAAATAATATTAGAATAAAAATAATTAATATATATATACTTAATAATACGAATTATCAAAAAGAAATAAATAAAAATATGAAAATAATACATAAGGGACCGTTCATCGGCGACAAACCTCGAAAAAAAATTGATTTTTAAAATCCTTTCCTTCCCTCGTTTTAAATATTCTAGTATTTTTCCAAAACGGCCTCGGAGTTGTGTAGATCTAAAAGAAAAGTTTCGAACGACAACCCCTTTTCCTCGGCCAAAACTATTTTTTTTTCAAGCACAAATACGAATAACAACACATGCAAGTGAAGAAAAGAATGCGAAAGGTAAAAGCTTTCACCTTTTATTGCTCCTGAATTGTTTACAATAGCTTCAAAACAATCTATTTGCTCGTATTTTTTTCTGGTAATTTCGTATGCCCATCGTGTGTTACAATAGTGAGTTACAATGGCTATTTATAGTGCTTGTGGATCATATCTTTAGGAGTTTAAATCATAGTAGAACTCTATCCTATTTTTTGAATCCTAGCAAAATTCTATCCTATCTTTAGGAGTTTGAATTCTAGTAGGACGAAAAAGTGTGTTGACAATATGATTATCAGGAGAAGCCATTGACAATGCCTAAGCTTATTCTATTATCCATAAGATCAACGGATAGCCAAAAATCTTCAAGACCCTGGGCTGGAATAACATATGTAGCTTTTATCAATAGCAGCTAACCCCAACTTCCCTTGCTTCTACTGTAACCAAGTTTTACGTAGGGGAATAACATATGAACATGATTATCATTGTTTTACGTAAGGGATAATAATAAAATCCTAAAATTAATTATAGGACATTGTTACAAGTACACTTTGATATAAATCAGAATCATGTAATTTACTGTCTTATTCTTGAAATCGGTCATTTTGCATTATAAGAAAACGGAAAAATAACATTTGAAGAAGAAAAAAAAACAAATTCAATAATTAGATATTGTTTTTGAAACCATTAGAATAATAATTTTATTATTATATTGGAAATTTCATTTTTAATAATATTATTATTATCTATTATTTATTAAAATGTCTTTTATAATTTATTTAAATATATAACTAATTTCTACCACAGCTTAAATTAAATATTATTGTTAATTATGGTATATTTATCCAACTGTTAATTTATAATTTTCAGGTGAATTCCCTCCAAATTTATTTTATTTTTTTCTTAAAAGAATCTTTTTCAATCCCAACCATCGATTGAGTGTTGTTTATCTAAGATTTTTAAATATTAAATATTTATTAAATTATTTAAAGTTAACCAAGTCAATAAAGTATATTAATTTGAAGATTAAAATTATTATTATTATTATTTCATATAACGTTACTATTTTTCTCAAATTTTAATAATCGGTGATTAAAATAAAAATAATTACATAAATAAAATAAGTGACCAAAATAGAAAATTGATAATAGTTTAGTGACCAATAGGACAGTTTACTCTAGATACTAAGGCAAATAAAAACCCTAACCCCCCTCTCCCATCTTCCTTTGCATTTATTCCCAAGCATCAACCTTTCGAATCTCTGTCGATACTAAGCTAGTAATCTTAGCTCTTATCGATCTGCTGCAAAGGAGGTTTGACTGATTGTTTTTGAATCCTTTAATTCATCTTTTCGTTAATTTTTTTCTAATTTGAAATCTTTGAAGCTCCATATTTGTCGAATCTACCTGCGAATTCAGGTTAGTAATGATCCAAAAAATTTGATAATTTACACCAAATTGCTGTAACATCATTTTTGAAAGTTTTGATTTTGGTGGTAATGTATTAGAGGATGACTTTGCTTAGACCTGTATTTGTTGTTGCATCTGTTTTTCTTCTTCAAAATCTAAGATTCATATATCTTCTTCAAAATCTAAGATTCATATATCTTCGTCATGGTTCCTGGGTTTTGTTTCCATGCTCCCAAATTATTTAGTCAGACACCATATTCATAGGATTTTTAAGTTTCGGTTAATTAAAATTTGAAAATGTTCCAATCGGCAGAAGATTTGGTAATGATTTCTGGTGATTCATGCCTTCTGTAATTCATACTGTTGCGGTAATGACTGTGGGGCCTTCGTCTTTAATCAGGCTATTGTTCATCAGGGGATCATATTGTTTGTGATTCAAAAGAAGTGAGATTTTATCAGAAAATCTGTTAATGGGAACTGAAGAGACAAAGGACCCCCTGAAAGGGGTTGATTGGAAAGCAATTGGTAGTGAGCTGCAGAAGGACCCTAGTGCTGGTGCTAAATCAGCTGTAAAGAAGCGGCTTCCAAAGAAGATTAGGCAAATTCCTGATTGTTATTTCCTTCCTCGGATGTCCGTTCCTTCTGCCATTGCCTTCTATGGAGCGTGTATTGCCGGCGGCATTGGTGCTGGAATGCTACTCGAGGTCTGGATAAACAAGAAAATTAAAGGTACACACACTAAGATTTCTATCTTCTTCCTTTCTTGAACTTGAACAAGTGAGAAAGGCATTAAGCTTCAGCCCTTTGAACTTATATTTATTTTTATCATCATCTTAACATATCCAAAACTTGGTTGCTTGTTTAAATGAGACAGGTCTAGAGAAGAATTGCACGGCTTAAAACAGTCTCCAAGGACTGAGGCTGTCGTGGAACTCTTTTGTTCAATACTATAGGGAAAAATATGTGCTAGAGAATTAGGAAATAGAAAGGATGAAACATTATCTTACATTTTCCTAAAAGACATGAGACAAAGGGAAATGTTGTCTCGTCTGGCTCGCCTCTCGTATCATGGGGCATATGAAGGTTGTTCATGGAAGTCAACAAAATCTTGTTCAATATTATAGGGAAATATATGATGAGAACTAGGAAATAGAAAGGATAAAACATTATCTTACATTTTCCTAAAAGACTTGAGACATCGGGAAACATTGCCCGGTCTGGCTCACTCCTCGTATCATGGGTTTACGAAGGGTGTTAATGGAAGTCAACAATATCTTCTATTGTGGTGGGGAGCTTTGTGTTTATGCTAGTAGGTTCATGAGACATGAATTTTGGTTTGCATAAACATGCATGTCCGGTTTGAGGTAGAGCTTATAGCTAACTTGCGGTTTTTTCGCAGAGGACGGAGGTGTAATATGGGAATTTGACAAATAATGCTTAATATCATTAGAAGAGATACTCATCTTCCCCATGGTGAGTTGGAACACGGCAGTCATTTTTGCCCGAATGTTGATATGCAAACAGGGTTACTTATCTATTTTATTCTCAATTAACAGCGAATATAACTCTTTCAAGTAAAACGATTAATTTTAGATATTATAATATATGATTATTTTAAATTTTCTTTTTTGGAATAAGCAATTAGAGTAATATAATACTTCTTCGTAATGTTTTAAAATTATAAGTAAATTATACTAATGGTCAGCAATTATTATCACTTTAATACTTTGGTTATCTACTTTTTTTATATATAAAATCGTCGCTAATGTTATAGTTATTTTTTATTTTGATTACTAAATGTGTTTTTTGTTAAAATTTAATAAAGATAAGTGACATGACATGATCTAATCTCTAAAACTTATAAAATTTTTAAAATTTATATCATTTTAAGAAAAATATGAAATGGGCTTAAAAGGATATTAAACTTACCTAACAACCAATTGGTATAGTGAGACAAGATGTTATATCTTTAAAAAAGGGTCAGACATTCGAATTTTGACGATTGTAAATGGAGCAAACTAGGTTAAGAGAGTCATACTTGCCTATGCAATATTTGATCTAGATTAATTGATCGTTAGATCGAATACCTAATCTAATCACCCTTGCCTCTGCAATATCGATGATTATAAAAAATTTAAAATTAAGATAATTTTATATTATATATAAAATCAATATATTAAGATTTCCAATCTAATCAATAATTTTTGAAATGTTATATTGTATATAAACATATTTCTATGTATAATTGAGGTATATTTTATTAAATATAATTTTTAAAAATACTAATAAAATCCGAATCAATTTGTATCTATAATTTGACAATAATTAACCAATTATTATCGGTTTGTAAAAGTCTCAATCCTTAATTGTTAACAGTCATTTTTTACAATTCGATTAACTGAATTATTTAGCTTTAACATTTCGATTAACTGAACTATTTAACCTTAACAATTCAATTAATTAACATGTAAAATATAATAATTATACCAATTAACAATTTCAATTAACGATTACAAATTAATCTGGACACACCGGCGTCTAATGCTTTTTTTTTAAAATATAGACTAAGAGTAACGTTGAATTAAAAGGCTATAGCACCAGAAAGCCCTTAATCGACAATCTTTTACCTGCATTGCTGTTAATGTTTATGAAATTCAAACATGCATGGTTATTACTACAGTATGCAGTAGGCTGGGCTATGATAGTTATGTTCTGTTGACATTTCATGTAATGATCATTGTTTTATATATCTTACAGAATGCGCTTGTGGATTATATTTGACAATAGATTTTAACTTTTGGTTGATGATGACCATGAGTTGTGGCATGGTCCCCAATGATGTTCCCTGGTATTCAACAATACATGCATTCGGAAAACAAAGGCCACTACAGCCATTTTCATCAAGATATAAAACACAATAAAAACAATATGTAAACCGGTTTGATCAAACAGTTAAACATACAGAAACATCAACAGCTGACCGGGCTCAAACGGCAGGGCAGTTCCTCATCTGATCTCGCAGCAAAACTTGGACATAACCATGTTCACAACAATGCATTTGGAAAAAGAACTTCAATGGCCTTTATAAAATATATGCGGTCACGGATTGATCGCAGATAAAATCTGATAACAGAGAAAACAATAGCAGGTTCAACTTTGCATGTTAACAAGTCCTGATCAGCCACTATCTGCTATTCATATGGAAAGCCAACAGGAGAACAACATAAGAATATTGTTAAAGTAGACCTGAAGGATTGCACTAGTTGAAGATAGTATAATACCTTATCACTAAAAATGCGAAAGACATCCACTCCCATAGCTTTGTCGAGTTCCTAATAAAAAGCCAAAAACAGAATTATAAGGCACACGAACTTCATCAACAAAAACGAATCTCGGTTTTTAAAGTAGGAATAACAACACTGAAATTCAATGCGTCTGGGGAGCTATCAATATTAGAGATAAGTTTTCGAAGATGTTCATCCTTCAAGGCTTCACGGACTTCATCGGAAGAAGCTGCAAGAGAACATGGTAGATTTAGTGTGAAGGAGTTTAATCAGCTTTGGCATCAAGACAGTTTTATCTAAAGGTTCTCTGGCTCTAACATAATAATATAGATCCAGATAGCATTTGATCATACAAACTAGTTATCTTAAACTGGATATCATTCAAGCTTCTATTTTACATCTCAATCTAGGGCAGAACAACACCCAGATAATCCATTAGCTGATGTGGAAAAACTTTTTGGGGCAAGATCCCAGATGTAAAAACTCTGCGCAGACCAAATCCAGCTAAAAGCAACGCATTCGGCCTACTATGAAGTGCAAAAATTGTTCTACTACAAGCTAACCACAATGCCTTTTAATGCATTATGACCATTAAATCGTCTATAATCACCATCAAAATTTTGAAATCGGTAATAACTTTTCGGTATTTCTCCCATGAATATTTCGAATTCTGGTAGAAAACACAGTTTCTACCGGGAATTTCAATTTATTCAGCCTTTTTCGTGTTCTTTTATTTAAAAGTTAATTATGAGTCTTATTAGCTTTCCATCATACTTTTTGCATTTTTTGGCACTCGAAGATCTCAATTGTGTTGGCAACTATCAACAAGATGTTAGTGGATACTGAGTGGATATTTCTGTTGAAATAGAGAGAAGAGTAAAGAGAAACAATGGCTTGAGTTTTCCATTGATTAAGAGTGAATATATATACACAAAATTGGACACATAGAAATAGGAAACTAGCCTAGAGTTAGGGGATTACAACTAATTACAAGGCATAGAAATAGGAGACTAGCCTAGAGTTAGGGGATTACAACTAATTACAAGAATATTATAATTGATTACAATAATTTAAAATATAGATAAAATCTATTATAATTAATTCTCTAATATGCCCCCTCAAGATGGAGCTCCGGAGGAGACACCAATCTTGACCCTTAAATCTTGGAATCGGCTTCGTGGAAGCGGTTTGGTAAGAGCGTCGGCAAGTTGATCTGCTGAGGAAACATGAGTAACACGAAGAGCACCTGATTGAACTTGACCCCGAATAAAGTGATAGTCAAGTGCCACATGTTTCATGCGCGAATGAAAGACTGGATTAGAACAGAGATAGGTGGCACCAACATTGTCGCAGTAGATAACAGGCGGTGTAGAAAGAGTGATGCCAAGTTCTGTGAGAAGGGAACAAATCCAATTGAGTTCAGAAGTAGTAGCGGCAACTGATCGATACTCAGCCTCCGTGGAGGATCGAGCAACTGTACGTTGTTTCTTGGATGACCAAGAAATAGGATGACGACCAAGATAGACAATATAGGCACTCGTTGAGGTATAATCATCTTTGTTTCCAGCCCAATCAGCATCTGAGAATGCATGAAGGGAAAGTGGATTTGCCTTGTGAAGGAATAATCCATGAGTTAATGTGCCACATAGATATCGAAGCAGTCGTTTTGCAGCATTCCAATGTTCAGACGTCGGGCGATGCATGAATTGAGAAAGCTTGTTGACAGCATATGCTATGTCTGGGCGAGTGAGGCAAAGATACTGTAGACTGCCAACAATTGTTCTATATTCTGTGCAGTCAGTTAGAGCTGTACCTGAATGAAGTGTAAGATTTCCATCTGTAACAAGTGGTGTAGCAACAGGTTTTGCACCAATCATTTTTGTCCGGGCAAGAAGATCAGTGATGTAGCGCCTTTGAGTAAGCAGCAGACCGGATGGAGTAGTTAGAACCTCAATGCCGAGAAAATAAGACAATGTGCCAAGATCCTTGATTGAAAATCTTTGTGCCATGAGGTCAATGTAGCGCTGAATAATATTGGTGTTGGTGCCTGTGATAATAATGTCATCCACATAAACAAGTAGATATATAGTAGTGTCACCTGAGTGAAGAATGAATAGGGAAGTGTCTGCTTGAGAGTTTGTGAACCCAGACTCAATGAGGAATTGGTGAAGTTCAAGGTACCAAGCCCGTGGGGCCTGCTTGAGTCCATATATTGCCTTCTTTAGTTTGCATACATGTGTTGGATTGTCTTTATCAACAAATCCTGGAGGCTGGGCCATGTAGACATCTTCGGAAAGATGGCCCTGAAGAAAGGCATTATTAACATCCAATTGTCGCAATTGCCAACCTCTACTGACTGCCAGGCTTAGAACAAGTCGTATTGTTGTCGGCTTGACAACCGGACTAAAGGTGTCATGATAATCCACTCCAGGTATTTGATGAAAGCCTTTTGCAACTAATCTAGCTTTGTACCTGTCAATAGAACCATTAGGAAGCCGTTTAATACGAAAGACCCACTTACATCCAATAAGATTCTGCAGAGAAGTAGATGGAACAAGCTCCCAAGTTCCATTCCGAACAAGAGCATCAAACTCATCATTCATAGCTTGTCTCCATTTGGGATCTTTTAGGGCTTGAGAAACAGTATGAGGCTCAATGTCTGATGGTTGAGAAATGATAGCAGTGAGGTTTATTTTGGTTAGGGGTTTATGGATGTTGTTTTTCGATCTAGTGGTCATGGGATGGGTATTTTGATGGGTGGGTTGCGCTATGATTGAAGCAGAAGAGGTCTCAGAATTGTGTGGTTCTAGTGGTAAATGGTCGACGATGGTTTCTTGGCGATTAACCGAGCTGTGTTCGGGTAAAGGGAGGTCTATGGATAGGGATCGACGGTCGACTGATGAGGAAGGGCAGTGGTCTGTTTGGGTATTTTGTGACGGATGTTGACATGAGGAATCCCTTTGTGGAGGCGTATTGAGTGAGCCACTTGAAATTGGTAAAATTTGGACCGGGGGAAGCCATTTGGAAATGATCTCTGGGGTGGGACGCGCTAGATGGATTTGGTGAGTGCTAAAGGGAAATGAGTTTTCAAGAAATTTGACATGACGAGAAATGTATATTTTAGAAGTGGATAGAGCGAGACAGATATATGCACTTTGTGTTAAAGAGTAGCCAAGAAAAACACAAGGAGTGGAACGAGAGTCAAGTTTGTGCTGAGAATAAGGACGAAGCCACGGATAACATAAGCAACCAAACACCCGAAGTTTAGTGTAGTTGGGTTGAGACTCAAAGAGTTTCTCAAAAGGAGATGAAAAATGTAGTGTGGGTGTGGGCATACGGTTGATGAGATATACAGCAGTGGCAAAGGCATAAGTCCAATAAGTTAAAGGCATTGATGCATGAGTAAGGAGAGATAGACCAGTTTCAACAATATGTCGATGACGTCGTTCAGAAAAACCATTATGCTCTGGTGTATGGGGTGGTGTAGTAAGATGTGATATACCATTGGTGGAGAGAAAACGATCAAGGGCTTGATATTCACCACCATTATCTGAATAGAGGGTAATAATTCGGTGTTTAAATTGGTTTTCGACTAATGCCTTGAAACGTACAAAGACGTCATGCACATGAGATTTTCGTTTAAGGGGATAATACCAAATATATCGTGTATAATGATCAACAAAAATAACATAGTATTGAAAACCATCAACAGAATAAACAGGAGAGGTCCAGACATCAGAAAAGATAAGTTCAAGCGGGTGAGATGAAGTTAAGGTAGAAGAAGAAAATGGAATTTTATGACTTTTATTGCATGAACATGCATTGCAATGTGTGAAGGAGGATAACGGACTAGACAATGGTAAAGGAAATTTGGAAACAATATTTTTCATAATAGTAAATGACGGATGACCTAGTCTAGAGTGCCACTCGGACGAAGTGGTCTTGACACTGGAAAATGCAAGCAATGGTGAAGAGGAAAGTGAAGGGGATGTAGTCGGCCACTCATATACGCCATCCTTAGGTTCACCCATCAAAAGGATTGTCCCCGTGTTTAGATCCTTCACCTGAAAAGCAGAGGGTGAGAATTCAACAGAAACATGGTTATGAGTGCAAAATTGATAAATCGAAATTAAGTTCTTTTTCATGGAAGGGACACAAAGGACATTTTGTAAAGTAAAGGTGCGAGAGGAAGTTGGTATGGTGGTAGAACCAGTATGGGTTATGTGAAGGGCCGATCCATCGCCAATCATGACATCATCAGATCCTTGGTACGAGCTATGAAGAGAGAGATTGCTCAAGTCAGACGTAACATGGTGAGATGCTCCACTATCCAGCAGCCAAGTAGGTGTAGTGTTGTTGCCCAGAATAGTATGATTGGCTCGTGGTTGCCAGGGTGTGGAAGGGCGATATCCCTGAGAGCCTTGAGGACGAGATGCTGGTGATTGTTGATTATTGACAAGCCGAAACATCGGGCATCGTTTGGCAGTGTGTCCTTGAGTGCCGCATGCTTGACAACGACCCAAATAAGGTTTGGGTTGGCGTTGATCATGAGGAGAAAGTATAGTGGTAGGGCCTGATTGTTGTGAATTGGTGGCTGGTGGACGCCAATTTGGACGATTCCGAAAAGCCGTGGGATTTGCCGTGGCTGGTAGTGATAGGGAAGGTGGTTGAGCGGTCTGAAGAGATGTTTCTTTGTTGAGAAGTTTCTCATGAAGTTCAGCAAAAGAAATTGACGTGTCACGGGCATTAATGGCATCAATGACAGATTTATACTCATCACTTAGTCCTTCTAGAACCCGATCAATAAGATCCTCATCATCAATTGGCTTCCCTAGAAGAGCAAGTTCATCGGCACGAGTCTTTATCGCTTGCATGTATTCACTAATTGATTTTGAGCCCTTGTTACACCGCTTTAATTGTTCCTTCAATTGTTTAATATGACCACGAGATGGTTTGGCGTAGGTATTAGCTAAGGTTTGCCATGCATCAAGGGAAGTGGTGGTGCGGGCAATAAGCGGTTGCAATGAAACGGAGATGGCACCAAGGAGAGCGCTAAAAAGGAGACGATCCTGACGCTTCCAGGTTGTGTACGCCAGATTTGGAGATGTAACACCATTGACGGTGATGGTGGGTTGTGGTGGAGTTTGAGTGCCATCAATAAAGTGATGAAGATCATAACCTTCAAGAAGAGATTGGATTTGAAGGCTCCATGTGAGATAATTGGTGGATGACAATTTGGTGATATTGGAGAGATTTATTGTAAGGAGAGGATGTTGAGGATCTTGAGAATTTTGGATAGTAATAGGATCGTTGGTGGAAGAGGAAGTCGTATGGGAAGCCATTGAAGGGACTAGTGGCGTAGTTTTAGATATATGTATATGAAGGATCGTGGTGTTTTTGAACCAAAAAAAAAGGAGAAGAAAATATGCTCAGGAAGATTAGGCTCGTGATACCATGTTGAAATAGAGAGAAGAGTAAAGAGAAACAATGGCTTGAGTTTTCCATTGATTAAGAGTGAATATATATACACAAAATTGGACACATAGAAATAGGAAACTAGCCTAGAGTTAGGGGATTACAACTAATTACAAGGCATAGAAATAGGAGACTAGCCTAGAGTTAGGGGATTACAACTAATTACAAGAATATTATAATTGATTACAATAATTTAAAATATAGATAAAATCTATTATAATTAATTCTCTAATAATTTCCCCTTTTTCCGAACATACTGCCCACCACTGTAACGCAGTTTTCAAATAAAATATCTGAGCTAGGATTAGATTTTGAAGGAAAAAAATACCAATAGCCTGCATCTGCATTATTTGTAGCACTTCACTTGGGTCATCAACTTCTAGTTTCCTTTCCACTTGAAATCCTGGATTAGCACCTAATAGATACGAAACAAACACCACTTGAGCTTTTGAAGGTTCCAGCAAAAGAAGAGGTAAATAACAAAAAGCATTTTGTTTTAAAAGCAAATGTAACTTTCATTGATGAAATGTCTTGATGTTTTTAAAGAGATGTTACGACATATAGAAATTCATAATATAGTGCATATGAAAAGGAAATTTGAATACAGTTCAAACGTTGTAGCAGACACCTCAATAGGAGAATGATTCATCAAAAAGTTTTTTTTTATAAATAAAATGTCTGAAAAACTGAAAATAAGAACATATCTAATGATAAACAAAAAACACATTATTTGAATTTTCAAACTAAGGATTTCGATCATTAAAAACATGCAACTGCATAACAGAGTTCTTACTGGCTCTTCCTTCAGATAAATCTGGCTTGACACTGGGGGTCACAGCATTGATGGTGGACTCTGGCTTGACACTACTTGTTACAGCATTATTAACAGACTCTGAGTTCACATTAGAGGTTCCTGCAGAATTCAGACACTCACAAGAGTTCTATATTAGGCCACTGTGTGACCACAGAGCAAAGGCCAACTCCAGCTAGGAACCATAATCTTTTCTTTTAATGCTGGCTTCCGGAAATAGACCCCTTAGCTATATAATTTTCTGGTTGAACCGAACTTGAGTTGAAATACATATCACTTATATTTGCAGTTGGTTTCCAAATACATAAAGCTTGGTATGGATTACCGAACAGACCAGAAAAGGCCATTTTCTATTATTTGATATTACCAAAGCAAAAGAAGAATTCTGAATTTATCACTTCATAGGAGTTCATAGCAAAAGAAGAAAATCAAGTCCAAGGCCACAACCTTATATGAACTAAGTTCGTACCTCTCAAAATGTGCCAATACATAAAAGGGATATATTTAGAACATCAAATAGATTAAAAACACAAGCATCCTTGATTAAAAAGAGAAGCACGGTATTGAGTGAGAAACATCCAGTTGAGGCGAAGTTCTCACCAGACTTGTCCTGTGTGGATTCCGGTTTCACACAGGGAGTTTCTGCATCATTCATAAAAGCACATCAGTTCCAGTAAACCCAAATTTTCCTTCTAATCTTTATCTACAAAACACGAGGTCTAGCATCACTGTTTCATGTGTTTTAGGCAATACATATTGATGGAGCAAAATTCATGTATTTACCAACAAACATATAGAAATAAAGATGGGATAAAATAATTAACAGGAGCGACAAAAGAGAACTTTTTTGGTGGCATACCTTTATGTGTCTTGAAACATGGCATAGAACAACTGAAAAATGGAAAGAGAAAATTAAACAAACAAACCCTAATGATGAACAGTTATAAAGAAAGAGGAAAATGAAGAACTTACTAAGGAACAAGACAAGAGGGGCACTTGTACTTGGACTTAGCTTGATTGCAAACTTCACACTGCCGTGAAGGACCCCCCATTTTCCCCTTCTTCCTCTTCTGTTAAGGTCTCTCTCTCGTCTACTCTCCCGAATTTAAAGGTTTTTCTCTTTTATTTGTTAGAATCGCAGAAGTGTCGACCGACGCAAGTGGGGCTGTGCCTAGGTTTGAACTGTTGGAAAAGAATTGGTAAATTACATTACAGGTCGTTCATTTATTAATAATTTTGCAAATGGGTCTCTTAATTTCAAATGTTTAAAATAAAATCACTCATTTAATTAATTGTTATATTCGGTCATTGTGTTATTAAATTGCAAATGAAAGTCTAACTTGAAATATTTTAATCATTAAAATTTGGATTATTTTAAAAAATTATAATTAAATCATTCAAGACTAAAAATTAGGTTATGTGCCATATAAATTTTATTTGGTGGGTAAATCAAAAATTTTATTCTAAAATTCATCTTATCTCTTTATTTGATTCATCATATTAGGTTTATAATAATTTCTTTCAAACTTTGAATCACCCCAACAATATTCAAATTTCTTAAATCTCATTTTATATCATTCACTGTCGGAGGACCATTGCCTTCAAATATGATCTTCTTTTCACTAATGATGGCCCATTCATTATTCATATCATCAAATGAAAGCCCCCAATATTTGAAAAGCCCAAAACTCAAATAACGTATTTAGAACATAATTAATTGAGTGACTTGATTATGATATTTTAAAATGCAATGACCATTTATAAATTTACTAATAATAGAGTGACTTGTTGTGTGATTTACCTAAAAGTATAATTAAAAACATGTTCTAACATATTATGACATGATTGTCCTAATCTATTAAGTGAATCAATTGTAATTTTTAAAATAGGATGACTAATTTATAAACTTACTAATAACAAAGTCGTATATGATATAATTTAGGGTTAACTATACGGATGATCACTTATGTTTGTCACTAATTTCACAAAACATAAGATAAGATCACTTTCGTTTTTATTTAATTAAGTGATCATCACGGATTAACTGTAGTCAACAATTAACAAAATATGTGACATGATAGTTGGTATAATCACACATTTGATCTCTGTTATTTATATATTCTGTCAATTTAGTCATACTTTTAAATAAATTTTAATAGAAAATATATATTTTAAATGAAAATAAAAATAAAATAATTTTAAATTAAGTTAATAAAAATAAAATATATTTAATAAGTTAATATAAAAAATACTTTTAAATTAATATATATAAAATGTCATGAATTTAAGTATTTATACACTAAGATACAAAATATATACATCATGTTGTCACTTAAAACCAAACAACAATCTTAGCATAATGGTTAGATACATGTTTAATTTCCTAGGTTTGAATCTTTTTCCCAATTTGCTTTTCTTTATTTTATTTCAACCAGAAGAGTGACACATGTCACTCTTTAGCTGGAAATTTATTTTAATTTATTAAATGTAGGACTAAATTAAGAGAATATGTAAATAATAGAGACCAAATATGTGATTATATAAAAAAGTATTTAACTGTTGTTAACAGTAGTTAACAACTACTCAAGGTGATCACATCTTAATTAAATAAAAACTCGGGACGACCACATTTTAATTAAATAAAAATAAAAGTGGCAATATCTTATATTTTTTAAAATTAATGATTAAAAGTGGACAAAACATAAACATAAATGATCATCTATGTAGTTAACCCTATAATTTACCACAAATATCACTTTTGAGGCTTTACAAAAGTTTTGATTAAAATATTCGAGGGGTTACTAGTACAAAATTGTCATCACATAAAAGGAAGTCAAATTCTTATCGAGCCGTACCCGCACCATTCTAGTTATAAATATTAGGTAATATTTCCGATTTATAGGCTTCAAAAACCTTAAAAACCCTATAATCTTTTCATTAATGTTAAATACACTAATTAAGAAAAATAATTTTAACATAATGAAAAGATCCTACATTGCCTTAAATAGATAATGGAAAGTATAAAGCTGAATTTATTCATAAATAATCAATAAAATAATTGAAAATCCGGAATAAATTAAAATTCCCGTATTAAGCTCGTATCTAATTTTCTACACGCACTTTCTTCACTAAAATAAGCATATCTTGAGTTTCCGATATTCGATTGAGGCATTTCAAAATGCGTTAGAAAGATAAATGAAACACAGTCATATCTTAAGAAGACATCATGCCCTAGAAACATTTGTATCTTGCTTGAAAATTTGTTGCAATTCGGTTTATGTTTTGGGCTTCAAAATCAACTTCAATAAAATGTTTAGGCTTTAGGAAAGAAGATTAGGCTGGAAAAAAAATTGGGTATTACACCTTGGTAATTAAGATCAAATGGAAACAATTCACTCACCAAATAGTTAACAAAATCCATATACCAAGGCAAAACTTCAACAGCAAGTAACCTCTTATCGGGAAAGGTGTCTGAAATTGCTAGTATTGTTCCATCTTCATTACCAGCTTCCAATCGTGACAAATTAGCATCCACTTGGTTCTCGGACTCTTTCTTGTCTCTAACCTCAATGTCAAATTCTTGAAGTAACAACACCCATCTCATTAACATCATCTTAGTATTATTTTTGGCGAACAAATGCTTTAAAGTCGAATGATCAATGTAGACAATGACTTTAATTCTAATTAAGTAATATTGGAACTTATCAAAGGAAAACACCACAGTGTAATTCATTCTCAGTTGTTGTATAGTGGTGAGTATTTTCTTATCGCTTAGTGTATAGCAAAGCTTTCCATTTACCCCTGGAGCTAAAGAATAAGGCAATGTGGGCTTTGAAGCAACTAAAATTTGATTTGGATGCTATTGACGAAAAATGAATAATGGACATCAATAAATTAGAAGATTTTAGGAACATTTCTTATGAGAGTGCACGGATTTACAAAGACAAGAGTAAAAAATGGCATGACAAACATATTTTGCCAAGGTAGTTTAATGTTGGACACCATGTCTTATTATTAAACTGTAGTCTAAAGCTATTTCTTAGAAAGCTAAAATCTCGATGGTCTGGTCCATTTGAAGTCATTGAAGTTTTTTCTCACGGTGTTATGCTAATAAAGAACATGGTGGATAGAAGTACATTTAAAGTTAATAGGCAATATTTGAAGCCTTATTGCCAACAACATAGCCAGCATTTCTTCCATCACACTATGTAATCCTTTAAATTTCTAATTGATATAGAATTTAATAATTCATTTCTTTGACATTATATAGTTTTATTTTCTTGCATTTATTTCTAATTTTAGTTGTTTTTTTGTACAGGTCGTGGCTACAGCTTTAACTATAACTTCCTTATTTTTCTTTTGAGAATGTTTCCCAGCAATTGGTTCGACTTTGTGTATCAAATGTTGCATACATTGTCAAAAACATCAGACAGCTGGAAGAGGGTAACTTTTAAGAGGTAAAAAAAGTAAATAAGTTGTCCCCCACTTTATTCCCATTACATCATCACCGTCCATATCCCCTAATCACACCAACTCATTCAAAATTTTCATCCTTATCAATTTTACCCATTTGAAATTTCAAATATTTTTTTATCTCTTCCACACGCAACCTTTAACATCCTTAAATGTTCATTTACTTTCATCCTTTTCACCTTCAACCACTTCTTTAAAAATCCCAAAGCTTGCATTTTTATTTTCTTCATCTTCCCATTATTCTTCTTTTTTCCTCAAACAAATACCTTTAATCATGGAACCAAAGAAAAATATTGTTGCTAAAAGTTCTCATTGACCACAAATACCTCCGTCGAAAGAGCTTTCAATTCGACTGTTGGACATTTCAAGTGATGGCCCAATGAGATACATTTAGGTCGAGAAGCATCAACGATATACCGACGAATTCTTTAACCGTGACTTTTTCTATAAGAAAGGATTTGATTTATCCTTAGTGGATGACTTGCAACATTTTTATTATATTACTGACATCATTGCTACACTTTAATGGGAAACATTTTGATTATAAGAAATTGCTCAAGAATTTTCTTGGGAATTGTTTAACAATTTCATGGACGAGAAGAAACCCTTAGTCTTTGTTTGTGAGAAAATGGTTCATTGGTGGGCAAAGCCGATTAACATGATGTTTAGCATAAAAGATACCGAATGTGAACACACAACATTCGTCAACAATCTCACCCTTGTTGAGTTAGAGCAAGTCGACACTGATGTATGCTTACTTGGTAAAACATGGGAAAAATGACCAATTGGAGTCTTAACAAGCCAACAAGGGTATGGTTTACTTTTATTCACACTAGTTTAATGTCTACGATGCATTACTCATCAATTAATATGGATAGAATTTTATTATTGCACTCTATTTTGGTTGATCGACATATTGATGTCAGAAAAATCATATATGTTGAATTATATGATTTTGTTCAGAAAACTTCAGGGTATTTATTTTTCCATTCTTTAATTATTTCATTGTACAAGCAAGCATAAGTGCCTACCTTGTCTTCTAATTAGGTATTTGCAAACATAACTACTATCATGCCATTTTCTACCAAATGTAGATTGTTAAATGAAGGGCTAGAACCTATCCAGCGTGAAGAGAGGAAATTTAAAGAAACTGCTACTAATGCTGCCTAAACTGCATTGCTGTAAGCAAGTCATGCTATGTTGGAGTTGTAGAGTGCCATGACATCGATGTCAGCCAAGCAAGACAATATAATGTCAATTTTTAGTCACGTGTTGTAAAACTAATCATATATGCACAATGCCTAAATGCAATATTGGCAATATGTTAATGACCGTGAGACGACAATTCAGTAAATCATAATCAAGCAGTTCAAGAAAATAGAAGTTTCATTCCCTACTTTCCAAATGATGGTGTTGAATGACTTAGCTCCACGACAATGCCAGACGCTGCAACAAGTTATGCAAGCTCTGAAGAGGGGAGGCACAAGAGAGCAATACTGAAGACAAGAATATAACAACAGACGGGAAAGAAGAAGACATTGCTTGTGAGAAGAAAGAAGAAGAAGAATAAGAAGAAAGCATCATGTCTGATTCGGTGACATCTACTGAAATTCTTACTGTCGACTCTGAGGATGTCAATATTGACACAATTGATGAGGAAAA